ACCTATAATTATAGCAGCACAATTGTAAAAGCTAAATTTTGTAAACAACCCAAATACCTTCAACTGCGGAGAGGACAAAAAAGGATGTCTATGTACCAGAGCACTACCCAGTCATAAAGAAGGATAAACTTGAGACTTTCATAGGTAAATGGATACAACCTGATACTATACTCATAAGGAAAGAGGAACTGGGGCAGAGGAAAGGAGAAAGGGAGGGAAAAAGAAAAAAATACAAAATAGACTACTAGATCCTCTTAGTTCATTGAAAAGAAAGGTTTGTGTTAACACTGGAGAACTTTTATCCTCATATCTTGTACTCTGAGTAATTACTTTAAAGATAATAATACATACTATATTAACTATTGTTATTCTCCCAATTCTTTGCTATGAAATTTTATTTTACTTTTTTCCATAAAATAAAAAGAAAAATATGCTAAAATTAACCCAACCTCTCTTAATATCATTTTATACAAAAATAACTTAGAAACATTAATAATAAAATTTCCTGAGAAAAGTTCAAATATATAAAATAGTTATCTTTGACTATCTGCATTAAAAAAGTAGATAATTATTAAATTTTTATAAAGAAAGGATTTATATTATTTAATCAAATGTATTTCATTTAATAATTCTTTAATACCACTGGAACTCAACTTATTTTTTTGAGACTGAGTCTCACTATGTAGTCTAGATTGGCCTTGAACTCACTCTGTAGCCCACGGCTGGCCTAGAACTCACAGTGATTTTCCTACCTCTGGCAACACCCCCAAGCGCTGGAATTACAGGTGTGAGCCACTTGCTCCTGGCGAACTCAATGGTTTTAAAAGGCTCACCATTTTTATATTGGGCAGGCTGAGAAGACAGGAACCTCTTTCTTATTTGAGCTGACAGTGCCTTTCTCTAACTTCTCACTATTATTGCTAGTTACACTTATTAGCTCTGCTATTATAAATGTCCTAAGATCAGCAGTGTGGACATCACCTAGAAACTTGATGGAAATGCAGAATCTTTTCGGCTACTGAATTATGCTCAACATTAACAAGCTCTCTGGATGATTCACAAGCATGTTACAGTTGAAACACTATTTGAAAGCTAAGTATACCCCATGAGATGTTCTCCCTATTAGTCTTCAAATATGTGAAGGTGGCCACCAATGCCCCAAGTAGTTCTTAGTTCTAAAGGCTAAATGCTCTCATTTCTTTGAATTGTTCCCTCATGTAAATGAGTGGATACCAGTAATTTTATTTATCTTATATCATTAAACTGTTGCTAATCCAGATCCATCCTCAACTTTTGTTTTTGAGGCCATGAAATTTAAAACACTGATTTTGGTACCAAAACCCTTATTGATGAATGGTAATTATAGAAAATATATTGCTTTAACTTGCATTTTAAAGAATTAAAACAAGATATACTGGCAATCGTAGGTATGTGGAATATTTCTGAAAATACAGACTAGTAAAACATTACCGTGCTGAATAATGTCATGTTTTTAGGGTAACAAAAGATGAGAGAAAACAATAAATAACTACCTTTTATAACAGATTTTACAATATAAGACTGTGATTACGTATCACACACCTTGACAAACTGAGTTGCAAACTGTTCTAGTACAGGGCATTCACCTTGCTGCTGCTGCATTTTGATTATGACATTTCCTTTCATCCGGGGAGTTTTTCTTTGCTTGTACAATTATCACTGCTTCTTTAAAGTTCAAATTTGATGACATCCTCTGCGATCCCTTCTCTAATTCCCCCACAAAAAAATTTCTGTCACTCTTTTTTCTAAAAGACATCTATCTCGGTATTCACTATCTCAGTTTGGGGCACGGTTTCTTTTTATCCAGATTTTTGAAAACCCGATTAGCATCTAATTCAACTTTGCATACTCACATCCTTTATATAGTTAGCTCTAAATAAATATTCACTAGACTAGATACAACCCAGGAAAATCCTTTTGACATGGAATATTAAAATGTTTATCTGTTTTCTTACTTAGTATTTTCTAAATGTATCTGGAAACAATAAATTTTTTAAAGCAGTCAAACTAACAATCCTTAATATTCTCTCCTTATTTCCTTGCACTTCTGCGCTGTTACAACAGGAGCAACTGAAATGTTCCAAGCTGATAGTTGTGTCATGAATGGCAAGCTCTTAGCCAACTCAAAAGAAGGTTAGTAACTGTGTGGCAAGGTGCTCAGGATATAAGAAAGAAGGGCGAAAGAATACTTAATATATAGTTACTACTTCATGATATGTCTAACATAAAGAGCCCCTGACATATTGAGAATCATCCATTCATTTTTATAGAAGAAACAGTAATGAAGGTGAGGTGATACACTCCAGTGTAATTCCACAACAAGAACAAGAGCAAATTTTAATGGTTGACTTTTACTTCCTAAGCAGCTATTTGGTAATCTTGGACTTTCTGCAATCTCAGCCTAATATTGTAGGCTTTGGCTACCCAAATTTATCTGCCTAACAACAAATGTCTGTCTTCACAGGCACTTACATGTGTGAAGAAATACAAAGCACACTAGATTCTTTCATCTACAACTTCTTAGAATTTTGAAGAATCTACAACTTATTTGTCTAAGATGTATTTCCTTTCCTGGAACAACTACTGATGAATACCAATGTGGTGTGCAGTTTAGAAATAGCTTGAATGTCCCTTGTAGTGTCTAACTTGAAATCTATTAGTAATTTTTTATAGTAATTTTTTTTTTTGTCTTTTTCCTTTTTATCGGTACCAAGGATCAAACTCACGACTGCCTGCTTACAAGGCAGGCGCTTATGCTGCTGAGCTAAATCCCCAGCCCCTAAATCTATTAGTAATTTTTTAAAAAATGCATATGAATATGTAACTAAAATTAAAAATCAGTAAGTCATAAAATGAGTTACAGTTGTTTATATTTAATATAGTCATTTCCAGAGTAAATCTGATTTTAATTCTTCATAATATTTTCAACACAGAGGTTTACTGAACAGTGGACAGGAGAATAGGGAAAGGAGGTGCTGACTTACTGGTAAAAGTCTTGTTTTATAGTGTGGTATGAATTAAATTTTTTTTAAGTCTTTCTCCATATTTTAACATTTGTTGGTTTTTATCCCTACTTGTGTGCCTGATTTAAAATTAACCTTTCCTCTTATTTTGAGCGATATAAAAAATGTACAGAAAAACAGGGAACACGTGTGTTCCCAGTACCTAGCCACATGCTCACCAAGTTTGTCACGTGTGCTTTAATCTTGGCTGATAAACAATACAACTACAAATATCAACAGTGTGTCCTTCAGTCAAGTACTTCTTGAGAGCTGGCTGTGTGCCACTGTGTGGAGAACAGCCGTGTGACCTGCACATCTTACAATCTGGCTGGAGAAACACAACCAAATAACTACCAAAAGCATTATGAGCTGAAATGCAGCAGTCAAATACAAACAGTTTTTTTCAACTGGGAGTCAATGAGACAATTAAAACCTACTGATGATGATTTAAGTGATTAATTTCTTAATTCTCTTAAAAATGGGCATATACTTAGTACCAACCTAGAAGTAGAGGAGAGATTGTCTCAGGGAGGAACTGAAGGCAGTTACCTAAAGAAGAGACATGAAATTTGAAGGATGTACAGGACTTAGACGTGCAAGGAGCCAGCTGGGATAGTAGTGTAAACCCTGCCTTTCTGGCAAAGAGCATATGTGAGGGATAAAAGGGCAAGGAGATTTAGGAGGCTAAAGAAAGACTAATATGGCAGATGCATACGGAATGGGGGCTGGCAATGAATAATAAAAACCAAGACTGGAATGACAAGCAGGCAGGCAGGGGGCCAGACTTATCCAACTGTGTCACCAAAGACCACTGTGGCTCTAATGGGTGACAGAAATAAGCACACGGAAAAGCAGTGGGAACGCTTCTGCAGTAATCAAGGCAGAGCTGCTTACTTGGACTAAAGTGATGCCTGGAATGTAGGAAAGCAGGCAGCTTGAGTGTGACCTCAAAGGAAGGAACAAGGACAATAGGGATATGTCAAGGATGACTCGCAGTTTCAGGTAGCTGCTGCTGCTGAAAAGAAAAAAAAACCAAAAACATTTTGGAGACTCTGCCTTTAAATTTTAGGTCTGAGGGAGTCATCAAAGAGACAAGTCCATGAATATGGAGTATAAAGAAGGGTGTGGCTTGTAGTTTTCCAGCAAGAATATGAAGGCGGGCAGGTAGGGATTTTTGAAAAGCCACTAAGTCTAGGAAGCACACATTAAAAAGATGTTCATGTGTCGTAGGATTCTGAGTAACACGGTGCCTTGCATAAAGGCAGACTGAGGAAAAGGGACAGAATGGTTTGCTTAATTGTTTTTCATCTTGTGAAAAACTGGTAGACAAGTTATGGAGACATGTACAAGATGGTTTTATACTGTAAATATTCCCTACTGGTTTTCAAAATAGTTCTAATTTAAATGATAAAGGTTTCCAAATGAGACGCTCAGCTGATACTGTCATTAAGCAATTCTTTTATGAATATATACAGAAGCAAAAACTTCTTTTAGATCCTTTTCCTACCTTTTAATTGATTTTAAAATTTTCACTTTACTTTCTACATAAACCAACCCAGTTTTACAATTTTCATATTTTTGCATTACTTTTGAGAAATAAAAAGATATTAGTCTCAAAATTATACAGTGATGTATGAAACAGAAGTTGGCTAATATACCAGGCATTCTGCTTACATGATTGCGAAAATGGTAAATACTAATTTACAGGTGGATGGTTTGAGTACATGGTACACTGACTTTATCACCCTACTGACTTTTTAAAAGCTTAAACAGAAATGAAATGCCAAATAAAATCCTTAATTGAAAGAAATTAAGAAAATCCTACAAAGAATTTTATTAGAGAAGACAAGTAATTACACTCATACTCTCTGCTGCGCGCTTAAATAACTATGGTCCTAGATTTATTAGTTAAAGTTGTTGGAATGCTTTTATAATCTCTTATTTCAATTTGTTACATACCAGTTGGCAATGTCCTTGTGAGCTATTAAATTTTGAAGAAACGCTTGTAATCCTAATTGTCTATCTTCTAAAAAATCGGCATTGTAGTTATTTTTAAACCAGCGTTTTGGTGGAAGTGCTAATCGAAAACCTGGAAACATCTCTTTTAACTGAAAAAGAAAAGAGAAAGTACAATATTTAATTTAATTATACCAATTCCATAAAACTCTACCCTATTCACCATGTGACTACAAAATAAGCTAAAAATAATTCAGCTAAGCTTTCTATGCCTTCTTTTATTTAATTTCTACCAGGTCTGTATATATAAGTTTTAGCTGCTCCATCTTCTTGTCAAAACTTGGCACTGTCCATCTTCAGTGCTGGCCGTTTCAGTGAGTGTGAGCAGTATTTCACTGTGGCTGTAATTTGCATGTCTCTGTTGAAAAACTATGCTGCATATTTTCTCATCCGCCTATTTGCATGCATCTTCTGGTGCATTATTGATTCAAATCTTTCAACCACCCCCATCTTCTTATTAAGTTGTGAGACTACTTTATTGAGTCCATATACAAGTCCTTTGTCAGATATCTGAATTAAACATTTTTCTTCCAGACAGAAGTTTGAACTTTAATTCTAACCAGAGCATACGTTTCAACTTTTAATGTTCACCTACTTTTACTTTTCTACTTTTTAAGATAAGAATTTTTATTATTTGCAACCTTATCCCAAGGTTGCAAAGAGCAGTGCTTTTTTTTTTTTTCCCTAGGAGTTTACGTTTTCATCCCCTATATTTTTGTTTGTGACCCATCTTGTACATTTGGCTTTAATTTTACTTTCTTAGTGTTGTAGTCAGGATTTGCAAGAAGAACAATTTATAGTATTATTTATAATGGTCACCCAAGGAGTCAAATACAAAGAAAATGCAGTAAATCTGTCCATATGCTAAGATTTATGGAATCCAGCTGAGGCCCTGGGTCCCACAGCAATGTCTTACATGAGTCCAGATGAAGACCTAGAGCCCAAGACAAAGTCCACCACAAGTCCAACTGGAGTCCAAGAACCCACAATAATGACTCATGCAAGTCTGTTTCGCAGATCTGCACTGGGAAGGCTCCAAGGTCAGTGGTAGAAGCTAGGAAGTCTGTATCAGCAGGATGAGGGAATCTGTGCCAGTAGGTTGAGGATTCTGCACTGGAGCCAGGAAGCAGTGCTCAAAGTAAGGCTCAGGGCTTGCTTGAAAAGTACCATAGTCATTCTTCAATGACTATGAGGTCCTCAGCTCCTCCAATGATAAGAATACCTGAGTTCCTATCAGGAAGCAGGTGTGAGAAGCTTCTCCTGGAGACTAAACAGCGCACCATTATCCCTGCTGAAGCAAGGAAGTGATACTCAAAGTAAGGAGCAGAGCTCCCCCAAAGTGAACCATAGCCATTCTCAGCAACAAGATCCTGAGCTCCTTTGATAATGAGAATAGCCAAGTTCATATCAGGAAAGAAGCTCAGCAAGCTTCTCCAGGAGAACCCATGGCAACAGGAGAACCAACAGAACCAACTCTCTTCTTCTCCAGGTCTCCTTTTTATGCTGGCTACAATCCTCAGGTGGGCCATCTACAGGCAGCACCACACTGATTCAGCTCAGCAGGTGTTAAATCTTCAATCCACTACATTAAGGGAAGACCTTCCCAACTTGTGAAACCAGGTTAAGTCTCCCTTTATATATCCTTCTCAAGATACTGTATGTGTGCAAATGACCTCTACTTAGAAGAAACAAACACTCATCAAAGTCATAGATTCTGTGTGCCAATAATTCATCACAGGTACAGTGATGAGGACTTATCTCTGTTCTACAGTGAATTGAGGAACCAGCTAGAAGACTGGAAATCTGAAAGCAAGAGTTGTCTGAAGATCACTCACATGTGTAAGCGGCTGATATGGGCTGTTGGCTGAAACTTCTGTGGCTGTCAGCCACAAACCAATACTGCCTTTTCCATGTGCCATGGGTTTTTACATAGCACGGAGGTTAGACTTCAAAGGGAGCATTCCAAAAGACAGTCAAGATGAAAAGCTATATATGTCCTACGATCTAGCCTTGAAAGTTCCATGGCATCATGTCTACCATTGTCCATTGGGTTAAGTAGTCATAAGCTCACTTAGGTTCAAGGGGAGAGTATATGGTTTGATGGGCAGCAGCAAGATTCTGGGAAAGCTTATGGAACTGAAGGCATTGTTGTGATTTTTAAGACATTCTGCCATACACTGCTAAATTTTTAATATATATTTTAATGAAGTCTATTACAATGTAAATGACATTTATTTAATTTTGGATTCTTATTTTAGATCAATTATTTTAAACCTTAGCTGCATACTGGAATCACTAGAGGCATTTTGAAAGATATTATTGACTGTGACCTACCTCTACAGATTAGGATTTAATTAGATGGAGTGTGGCCTGGGCATTGTAATTTTAGAAAGCTTTCCAGGGAAGTCCGAAGTGCAGCTATGATTGAGAAGCATTTTAGTACACTGCAATTGTTTTGACCTAAAAACAGAAAATACTGAGTTCCAAAGTTGAACTTATAGAAAATTCCACTTTTCATTGTCACATTTCTGCAGCTAATGCCTCATCCAGCCTACCCTACAACTCTGTCCACTGCCTCAACTGAGAAAAGCTCTATATGTTCCAGAACCCGCTAAAAACTGCTCTCACTTCCTCACCAGAGATGCTTAGAAAACTCTCAGAGAAACTGCACCAAGAATTTACAAAAAGAAAAAGAAAGTCAGTATCCTTCAGAAAGTTTTCTCTAACTAGTGTTACCTTAACTACATTTAGTAATTTTTATATTGTCAATTGGCTATTTTTTCTTCACTATTTTCTTTAAAATTAGGATGATATTTACAGGGTTTCTACATTACCTCAAATTCCTAGCAGAAAGCTGAATTTAAACTAGTTATTGCATAAATACTTCATGACTAATCCTGTAAGATTTTACTTTATTTTTAACAATTATATTTAACTGTGTGTCAGCTGGCATGTGACATACAGTTTTTTGATCTAGCAAGTACAATGCTAAGTAGTGTTCTCTTTGGAATCTATTCTAGTCTCCAGACTTTCGGTTTCCCATGCGCATTATGGTGCCAGCTATTAAATAGAATATTCCATCAATAAAATTCATAAATTTTAAATTATGTGCTGGTTGGAAGAGCATGATAAAATCTCACTCTGTGCTGTTCCAGTGAGATATGAATTATCCTTTTGCTCAACACATTCACACTGTGTACCCTACCTGCCGGTTAAGACACTCAGGAGCTTGCTTGGTTATTAGATGGGCTGTCCTGGTGCTGCAGGACTCTCTCCAAGTGGCCTAACACTGTATCAATGCCTATCTCACTCACTTTACTTCATCTTCATGAAGGCAATGTTTCACCTCATATCGTCACAAGAAGGTTAAATATAGTACAATACGATTGTTTGAGACAGACCACACTCATATAACTTTTATTACAGCATATTATTATTATTCTAGCTTATTATTGTTAATTTCTTACCATATTTAATTTACAAATTGAACTTTATCCCAGATGTGTACATATAGGAAAAAGCAGTATGGATTGGATTTGGTGCTATCTGTATCTCCTGAGTATTCTAGAATGTATCCTGAGTGGATAAAGGCCAACACTGTACAAGACTGACATGGACTTTTACTATTGATTTTAAGTGCCCAACTTAGAGAACAAGGAGATAAAGAGATACTTAATATCTTTCTTTGAAATGCTTGAGTAATCTCAATCTCAGCTTTCAGAACAAACATTTATTACCTTAATTAATAAAGGTCAATTTAGAGAGCTAAAGAAAAGTAAGTATAAGAAAAATAGAAAGTCATAAAAGATTAAATAGCTCTAAATTGAAACTGTTCAAAATAAGTCTGAATGAGTAAAATAATGATTCTATAAGAAAGCTAAGAATTTTATTTAAATATCTGGGAACTTAATAAATTGCTTTGATATTCCTGTTTAATCATTAAAAAACCAATATAAGTACAGAATTATAGGTTCTTGATTCATCAGTATAATATATAAGGTTTAGGAACAATAAACTGTAAATGATAGAGATACATTAGAAATAATACTTTAAACTCATTCATATGTCATATAGATCATATATACCTCTATCTACATATATCGGTATATATATGTGTCAATCTCATATAATATTTTTAAAGTGCCTGTATTTTTAAAGTGACTGTAACCTGTTACAGAAGTTTTCACCTGTGGTGTTATGTCAGCACTCAAAAAGTGTAGGATTTTGGAACACCATGAATTTCCCATTTTTGGATTAGAAATCCTTAAGTTGTACAAAAAGGCATCAAGGCTGTATCTTAATAAAAGATAAAATAGCTTAGTATTCTATATTTTGCATTTTTTAAATATAAACTGAGATTTTCAGAAAAGCAGAAACTTCTTGGCAGCTAGACAGCTGTGAAGTTACGTAAATGTGGATTCCCAACACTAAACACTGAGTTATACTAACTTTACAAGTTTTAAGTAGCCTAAGGAAAGAGGAAAGGGAATGGAAGGAAATCGAACCAGAACATTTTTCTCTATTGAACACCTGCCAAAACCAGAGACTAGCTTCTAGATGTTCTAAGGTCATCTTACTTGTCCTTTTAAGCTTCCAAAGTATCAACCCCATCCTTCGTCTCATTTGATTTTCCTCAAGGTTTGTCACAAGTTCTACTCTTCCTTTTCCATTAAGTTTCATAACAGCACTTAATTCCTCACTATTAGAAATTAGGTTGGTTCTAAGTTTTCATTATTAAAAACAAGGCAGAACACAGAAAAACAAAATCACTATATATAAAACACTGAAATAAATATCCTTAGAGTTCCTAATATTCATGACTGTTTATGTATAAGATATATCCTACAAATGTGGTTAGTGTGTTAAAACTATACCAATTTTAATGGTATCCTCTATGAAGCACTGGATAATATCATTTAAATGGCTGGCAATCTGCTGCATGAAAATGGTTTTTTTTTTCTTGGCGTACCTGTGATATTAAATGTTCTCAGATATATAGGTCATTTATATTTCTTCTGTGAATTACCCCGTTGTTGTCATTTTTATGTTTTACTTTTGGGTTTGTATTTAAGTGTTTTTAATATATTGAGACTTATTATTAACCAGTTTCATATATGCAATAGGCAGATTTGAAGGTAGTTTCATGACCTTTGACTCTGTGTTTGCTTCTGCAATTTTTGTTATGTTACACAGCAAAGGGATTTTGCATCTGTAATCATAAGGCTACTACTAATTAGTTGACCTTAAGGTAGGGAGATACCTGGGTGAGCCTTATCTTATCACATGAGCCACTTAAAATGTTTTCTCTGGCATAAGTGAAAGTTAGAGGGATTGAAAGGGTAAGTGGGGGACATGGTTCACTGTTGGTGGCTTTGAAAATATGCAGGGAATGCAGACCAGTCTCTGAGTGAAGAATTATCTCTGGCTAGCAGCCAGCGAAACAACAAGGCCCTTGGTCCTACAACTTCAAGAAACTAAATTCCGCCAACAACCTGAATGAGCTTGGAAGCTGATTCTTCCCCAGAGACTCCAGATAAGAGCCTAGCCCAGTGAAACGCTGATTTTAAGCTTGCTTGATGGTAAAAAGCAAGCTGAACCTATCTGAACCCCTAATAAGCAAGTATGTAACCAGGTTTGTGATAATGGTAGGCAGCAAAACTAATATGATATGCTAAAATGTTTTTGTTTACTCTTTCATAGTCATATGGTTTCACAATACAATGATTTTTTAATTTTAATTTTTATTATTTATTTATTTATTTATTTAGTCTTTTTCCTTTTTATTGGTACCAGGGATCGAACGCACGACTGCCTGCTTGCCAGGCAGGCGCTCATGCCGCTGAGCTAAATCCCCAGCCCCTTTAATTTTCATTTTAAAGAAAAAAAAATAAAAACAAAGTGATCTTACATTTCTCACACTAACAAGACTACATAAACAGTTTTACAAATTCAATGTTAAAGATTTCAGTTTCCATTAAAATATTTTTTTTGCATAAAAATAAAGGTCAAGATAAAATTTAAAGCTATTAAAGTGAAATGAACCATTTGTCTTATAACTAGCAAGAGATTTGACTTGATTCAAAAACAAGGTAAAAAGATACAAATATAAAATAAGTGTAGAGTACAGATAAAATACTCAAAAGGCATTCTGGGATTTACTAAAGTACTTACTTTGTCATTAAGCCTAGAGAAGTCAGTATATCTTCTGAAAACTACCCAACTTTCTTCTGGAGTTTTCTTTACTAGTATTTTATATACCTGGGGAGAAGAGAGAGAGAGAGAAAGAAAGATTTTTGAACCAAATTATTTTAAAATCTTTTACTTGATAATGCAAACTGTGAAACTTATTCTGCAAAAAGCATCAGAAATTACTTAGTCAGAAGTACAGATAATCAATGGAGGTACTAAAGGAAAAATTTTTTTGAGAAATATGAACATGACAAATTTAAGACAAAGGCTTTCTTTGTATACACTGTAGCCAACTCATCATCTTCCACAGTGTTCTATGGCAACGTATTTTAAAACTGATAAAAGTACCAATTGGGCTTGAAGAAGCTATAAAAAATAGTTATTTGCAATATATAACTTGCAAATTTAGTATCTATCAAACTATGTTTTCAAGTTAATACTATTTTTATCTCCAAAGCTGAAATGAGCTTAACATATTAAAACAAATCCATATTTGATAAAATTCAATTTCTGTAATTATGAGATATGATAAAAATATGGTAAATGTTTAAACTTTTGAAAAAAAATTATTGCAATAAAAGACACACTGCTTTAACCCTTCTTAAAATGCACCCCCCCCCCCCAATTTGAACATGCGTCCCATTGTTCTTGCCATTTTATGAAACAGTTCTGGTAGTTCTCTTTCATGTCTTTAGTTGTGCTGCTGGTCTTGCCTTGAAATTCAAACTGTTTCCCTTTTATGATCATTTTGATTTCGGGGAAGACCCAGAAGTTATATGGCGCCAGAGCCAGGGAGTCAGGAGGATGCAGACACACTGTTAATGTTCTTACCAGTCAGTCTTTCCACAGGATGGTGCTGAGCAGCAGCATTTACTACATATACTTTTGATTATGCTTCATAAAGACACTTAAGAAAGAGGACTTCTAGAACTGCTTCAGAAAGTGGCAAGAAAGATGGGATAAGTTTGTTTAAAGCTGAAGAGGATCAATGGCAAGGTATCTTTATTGTAATAAATTTTTCTAATGTCCACTGTATATTTATGTATTTACCTTGGGTACTGAGTGGAAAATTTGGTTGAAGCAAGACAACATGTTTTTTAAAAAAACATACGGTGAAAAACTTAGATTCTATTTTTTAAATGTATAATTTTAAAATTTATTATGAAGAAGAGTTATTTATGACAATCTCAAAGAAACATCTAGTAGTTTTTACTAGAGGATTCTGTTAAGCTAACATACGAGGTGTTCTATATGTGTGGAATGTGTGAAATTACTAATTTTCACTTGTTACCCTAGAGCTGCACTTTAGATACACGTGACTATGGATACTGGGCACACGACCAGTTCAAACTGACAAATACAGTGAATTTAAATATACACTGGCCTTCAAGGGTGTGAAAAAGATGTAAATCGTTATTAAAATGGCTTCACAAGGATGATTTATTGACATTACCTTTGGACATATTAGGCTGAATAAAATCTTACTAAAACAATTTCCCTGGCTTCTTAGTTTTGTTAATGTGGTCACTAGAAAAATCTACAATTATAAATGTGATTCACATACTTCTAACAGATAGCTACTTGAGGAACAAGTCATTTAAAGACTGTAGACCGTCCTTCCAATATCCATTTTCTGCTACAGACTGTTTTTTTCATCTATTACATGGGAGAACCAAAAGGGTTAAAAATCCTTTCAAGTAAAAAACATGTGATTTATCTTTGCAACATATAACGGTGTGGAACAAGATTATTTGGATATTCTTTAAAGACTACACAAAGTTCTGAGCTAAGAAAATCACAAAATATATATAGAAGAAAATTAATTTTTCTTCTATAATTATAGAATTAATTTAATCTCATAAAAGAGTTGAATTAATTCAAAGTTCCTGAGTGCATAAGACTTATAAAACCAACTTCTTGTGATAATTTGGTTTATCTACAAATAACCCACATTGACTTCATTTTCTGTTTCAGAAAATGTTCTTTTCAAACCAAGCTATTCTCTGCTGTGGCCCCTAAACATTTCTATTTGTTTAAGAAAGTTAAAGTACAGACTTTTGTGCTTTACCTTTCATAGAAAGCGTTCCTGTAATCTTTCTACGTGTTTAGTACTTCCAATGAAAACTTTGTGTATAGTTCGAATCATTCCCTCCTTTATGTTCTAATACCAGCTATTGTTACTATTCTGAAACTTTATATGTACTACTTTGTGTTAACATTTTATGTAGCTCTTTTTAGGCTTTTAAGTGAATTACATGTTAAGTTAAAAAATACATACAGAAGAGTAAATAAATTATAGGCCTACGATCTGATGAATTTTTACAAAGTGAACAGAACCATGTAGGTAGTAGTGAAGATATTAACTGAAGCCCTCATGCCTCCTTTCCAATTCTAATCATGATCTTTCCCAGTCATTTTATTTTTAAACCTCTTTTCGGAGATTTGACATTCTATACATTATCAGATTTTGATAGTAAGTCCTAATGCCTTCTTCAGTTGAAAGAGCAACTTTAAGGATAAGAGATCAATTCAAAAGAAGATATTTAGGAAAAAATTATTGTGTAAATCTAAGGCTCCCAATCTTGAATGTCTAGCTCTGATTTCTTCTCTAAACTCAATTCACATATATACTCAACATGCATATGTACACAGGATATATATAGGTGGATTGGGTATGCGTGTGGATATGCTCACACATATACCTGACATCACTATCTGGAAGTGTAATACACATCTAAAATCTAACATGTCCCAAAACAAACTCTAATGGTCCTCTCAGAATCTCACATCTAATTAAATGGCAACCTTAGTCTTAGTGTTTAGATCAAAACCTTTGAGGTCAGCTTTGACTTCTTTCTCCCATACTCTACTTCCAAATTATTTGAAAATAATTCTGGCTTTTCCTTCAAGACAGATCCAGGATCTCCAAACTCCTCAAGACCTACTCTACATGCTAGTTTTTATTATTACTATCTCTATCTTGTATTACTGCAAGAACTTAACTGCTTCCTTCTACTCTTCTAATTTAGTTTCAATTCAGCAGCCAGAATGAATCCTTACAACGTAAGGACAGCACATGCCTTTTCTCCAAAAATATCTTCTTAAAGATTCTCATCTTATGCAGAGTAAAACCCAGGGCCCTACCAATGGCCTACATGTCACAAAACTAAATATCAGAAACTAGGTGGCTTATAATAATAAATATTTATTTCTTACACTGAAGAAGCGAGGAAGTCCAAGATCAAGACACTGTCAAATTTGGTTTCTGATGAGAGCTCACTTTTTGTTCACACCAGTTGCATTATAGCTATGTCTTGGGCTGGATATAACAGGCAGCTCTCTGAGGCCTCTTTCATAAGGTCATAATCATAAAAGTTCTATCCCATGATCTAATTACTTCCCAAAGGTCCTATCTCTTCTTAACATCATCATCATGGAAATTAGGTTTCAACATATGAATTTTGGAGGAACACAAACATTCCTAGTATAGCATCATCTCAATGAATGTTTGCTCTTTCATATGGACCCAAGATCAGTGTAAGAAAATGGGGGCACTGGTTTTGTATTTTTAAAATTGCTATTCAAAAACATAGTTCCATGAAGATTTTGCCCTTATATCATCATTGTATCACCAGTCTAACTTTTTTCTAAAGACTGTCACCTCACGAGCTTCACAAATGATGTCAACATATTGTCTTCAAGGCTCTAGCGTACTGATGTAAATTTGTAACATAAAACACTGAAGCAAACATAAAATTTCATGGAAAAAACCCCAGAAAAAATAAACTTCTTTACCTAATAACTTTAGCAAGGTTGATATATATAAACATATAAGGTCAAAATATATAAATTAGTAATAAACAAATAGAAATTAGAAGTATTTCTTCTAAGAGCATCCAACCACACACATATTCAGAAATAAATCTAACAAGAGGAAAGATCTCTGTACTAAAAATGACAAAAAAAAAAAAGCGCTACTAAAAATTAAAGATTTATGTAAATGGTTTATACTCATGGATTTAATCAGTCAGTATGGTAAAGATGTCAGTTATTCCCAGAATAATTTATAGACTCAACAAAATGCAAAGGGCCAAGAATAGCCACAGCAATCCTGAAGAACAGTAAAGCTAGTACTTAAGCTATTGAGTACCAAACCCCACTACAAAAGTTCAGTGATTAAGCTTCTGGAGTTGATAATGGATAGAAATATGGAACATGACAACCTCAATATTTACAGTCACATAACTATGACATAATACTGCAAATGCAAAGCAAGAGTGATATTTTTAATATAAGCTCAACTAATTGATCTCACCCAGAACAAATAAAATGCCATGACTTATCCCACAGACAAAAAACAATTCCAGATGGCTTGCACATCTTAATGTGAAAGGCCTAACCAAAATCTTTTATAACAAAGTAGGACATAATATCTTTGTAAGCTTGGAGTAGGCAAAGATCTCAAAAAGTGCTAACCATAAAAGAAAGCAGTAACTGACTGGGCTATATCAAAATTAAGAACTTTGGTTATCAAATCTATTATTAAGAAAGTGAAAAGGCAAAAAAACAAGAGGATAGTTATGACACATATATTTTTAAAAAACAAACAATTTATATTCAGAATACATAGATACCTACAAGTAAAACTGGAAACCTCCCAAAAGAAAAACAAACAAAAATCTTGAAAGGCATTTCACAGAAATATCCAAATGGCTAAAAAGTTTTAAAATAAATCTTTGTCATTAAGAAAATTTAAAACCACAATGTGATATTCTATGCAAACTAGAATAGGAAAATGAAAAAGATGGAAAAATACCCTACGCTTGGAAGGTACAGAGCAATTAGAAATCACACACTGCCTAGGCAGCATAAACTCCTGCAATTACTTTGGAACACTGCTCGTCAGTCTTCTAAAGCTGGGTCCATGAACTAGCAATTTTATTCCTAGATAGGTAACACATAGAAATGTGTAAACCTGTGTTTGTCAAGTGCTATGTACTAAAATTGTCAAAGCAGTAATACTGGTAAGAATCTCAAAAAATAAATAAAAACTGTATATAAATAGTCAGTATATGTACATAAATAATCATTTAAATAAATAATCAGTAATAACAATAAGCTACCTATAATTCATGCAAGATCAAGAATGACTCCTATAAACATAATGCTGAAGAAATGAGATCAGATCCTAAGAGTACATACGAAAAACTATCATTTATATATAGTACAAAAATAGGCAAAGTAATCTTACGACCAGAAGAGCATTGGGTGAGAGGGCACTGAATGGCAGAGTATGAGGACTTTTAAAACGCTAGTAACGTTGTTCTTTAGTGTATATACTAGCTGTATAGGTGTGTCTGCTTTGTGAAAATTCACTAAGATAAGGTAAAAGTTTACTACAGCATGAAAAAATTTAGTGGTATAAAATCACAGAATTTTGTATTAAGAAAATTTAAGTGTAGGCTACCTTAATTAACACTAGTTTAAATACACAGGCAAGCCAATCTTTCACTTTCTACTGCTTTAATCATAAGTAATACTTACAGTAAATTTGGCTCTTTCTTCCATCACTTCATAACCCAGGATAGTCGGTGTAGATGGTCTATCTTCCCAACTGACTGATTCTGGATTCTGTTCTTCAGTTTCTCTTGGTCTAGTAGAGTACTCAATGGATGAATCTGTACCTGTAAACTTAGTCCTAATGAGAGGGCTGCTACAGACAGATGAAGTTCTGTCCAGCTGATCAGGAACACTTGTCTGTTTATAGTTACCCATATTTGAATCTTCTAACTGGCCTTTGGAGGAGTTTGAGCTTGTGGAGACACTGCCAAAAGAAGAACTTCTTTGATTTCTGTTGGCCGTAAAACTAGAAGCGGAGTTTCCTATGGGCATAGGAACTGGGACATAAGGAGTTGCCATTTTCTGCCTTTGCAACAAATCTGTACACTGCTGTGTCCAAATGCTTAGCAAACAACTACTAGGAAATCCATTTTCTTCTTAGGAATTCACTATCTAAAAATAAGAAGGACATATTGAAAGATTAGTCTTTTATCTGAAGCACAATCCAAAAGAAAAAAATGTTCTTTTAAATTTTGTGATATTTGGAATAAAAACAGGCTTCGAATCCCTTTTTACAATTCTTAACAGTGCCTAAAAATTCTCATTCACAAGGTAAAAAGAGTAAAACTTCTTTAGAACCCTTTTCTTGACCCTCATATCATGTTATCCTTTTATACTCACTTTGTTTGTGAAGGAAATTTGTGTGTGGGGGGGAAAAGGAATCAAACTGACAACCTTGCATGTGTCAGACAGGAGCTTATGCCACTGAGCTGTATTCTCCGCCCCTTTGTGAAAGACTTTTAATGTTCACTTTTAACCTGATTTGATCCCCAGCACTGCCAAAAGAAAAAAAAAATAGGACAAAAGAGTAGGAAAGACTCTTCTGAAGCTTTCTTTTAGAACGTCCTGACAGTGCTATATACAGTAGGAAGGAGAAAAGGAGGAAAATCGCACTACATTTTGATTTAGTGCAACTCTAAACACTTACATGAAAGAATAACAGTGAATCAAATGAAGTAATAATAGTTCTAAAAGTAACATTTTATAAAACACAATCAAATGTATTTGACACAATCAAATTACTCAAATAAAATCCAATTGAATACTAAGCATATTAAACACGATCAAATGATTTAAAAGCATACTTCAGTTTTTAGGTGAATATTTTATAATTAACTGAGAGGACTTAAATCTTTATAAACTCATATTCAGTAATCTAGTATCAAAAGTAGTAGTATGCCTTGTATCAGAATAAGTTCACAGTAACAAAGGAACAATGGTTTATCATCAAATTGTTAAGTAACAAGCTTATAACAAATTGTAGTACCTAGGCCAACAAAATGACAGGAATGCACACAGCAACCAAGGATCTGCCTGCCCAACTTTATCTATGCATTTCTATTGGTGAGAAGGGTAGGAAAAGAATCCCGAGGGTTTGGTAACAATATTTTAAACTCAGCACGTTGCTCTCGGCTTAATGAAAGATTCCTCATCAGCAAAGCTTCAAGAAACTCAAGTGATTGATTCACTGCTCCTCCATCCCATCTGATCGCCTCCCCCAAAAGAAGTACACGAAAGTGAGATCCTCACCTTCTCAAGGCCTAGGTGATGGCCCTACTCTGCCACTCCACTACCTGAGGCTCCAGATAAAGCAGCTTATTAACACAGCCACTGACAACCAAAGCAGTGAGCGCTACTCAAGAGTTAGGAAAACACATCGTGCACTTTTGTTCTTGCATGGAGATGCCCAGGAAGAATCCTTTAGTCTCACCTAGGTCAGGTGAGAAGGTCGGATTTTGAGCAACCCACCCCGGTGGGCGAGATTGGGTGGAGGGAGGAAAGTGGAGAAACGCTTAGGCGGAGACCTTCGGGGTCTGCGCAGTGTAGGGATCTCCCGCTCTGTGGGCAGCAGGACGTACAGCTCCCAGGGCTTCCTGGGTGCCAGCGATCCTCCTGCCTCCGCCGCCCCGCCAGCGGTCAGAGCCTTCCAGACGCCCGGAGGAGTCGGTGGTGGCCGGACGGTGGCAGGGGTCGGGTGCCGGGGCCTGCCGCGTCTCTCCGCACTCTCGCGCCTCCCGCCAGACATCCCGAGTGCAGGTGTCACCCACCCGGGAGCCCAGCACAGACGGCGTCGCCACCGGTCCTTACCTTAGTGCACTCCATGATTCAGCTTGAGCTGTGGAGCTGTAAAACCTACTTCTCCTCTCTGCAGCTTCTCGCCTCTGTGACAGAATCTAGTACTTCACGTGACTTTCCGTTCCCAAAGAACCAGCTCAGCACGTTTCTCAGACTCGGTCTGGCCAGGGGGCCTGGGATCCCGCCGAGGAGGAGGGAGGGGTTGGCCAGGGACTCCGTCCCGGAAGTGACGTAAAGCAGCGCGCCCATCCCGGAAGTTCCCGAGAGCGTGTGCCTCAGGCTGTCTGACAACTAATTTAAATCTAGTCCTGTGACAAGTGGTTGATATTCTTTGTACTAGCTTTAGTTTCCAAAGTGGACTTCTGAGTAACTGTTCGGTTCTAGGAGAAACCATAGCCAACGTTTGTCTGGGCCCCTGCTTTGCATCATGGGATTGTAGTCCATCACTAGTTTGGGCCGGTTCTTTTCTGTTAAAGAATTGTTTTCCAGAATTAGCAGTGCTTTAGGGGGTGAAAGTTGATCTGAAGAATAGCAAGATGGAAGATACACTACTGTCCATCTACTCTACGTAATTCAGAAGACCTTGTTGGTTAGAGATTTAGACCAGGGTACAGGACTGTTCATCATTAGACTGGTGCAATTTTGAAATTTATATATATATTTATTCCTGGCACTGGAGATCAAAAGAATGGGGCAGTTTGATTAAAAGGTCATTGAATGATTTCTAGGGCTCTGGAATAGTACCAAGATTGGAAAAAATTCGCAGTGGTAATTTCAAAATGAATGTAGCAAATTAATCTTATTTGAGGCATAATGCTGGCTTTGGTTTAAGAGGTATTGCCCTTTCAGTAAGAGTGAAGAATGAAAATAAGAGTTCCATAGAAACAAGGAACTAAAACAGTTTTCAGAATGGAGTTGGCAACCTTGATCTTGTTTTGGCAATTATGTACTTGAGTTTTGTGAATAAGGGTAAAGCACAGCAAAGAAAAAGGGGCCTTAGAAAATTTCTATGGATAGGACTGACAGTAGTACCAAAAGAGACCTGTGAAAAGTAAAATATGTAAGTTCAATATCTAGGAAGCCAAAGAAAGTTAGAACTTTCAGGAAATAAGAGGGTACACATCCTACAGCTAGAAGGACAAAGGAAATGTGCTTGAAACTGTCCATGAGGAACTCCTTTCACAGACTGGGCAGAACATAACAGAATATGCATATTTATTTATATTCCAGAATATCTGGTATTGGTAAATATCTAGTTTTTATTTTAAGAAATAACTGCATAGTTTTAGGAATCAAGAAAGACTTTCCTGTGGTTGGTCAAACTATTTACTATAGTAAAACTATTATCAGAGACAATTTTTAAAAATCGATACTGGGTATCGAACACTTGCAAGGCAGGTAATTATACCACTGAGCTAAATCACCAGCCCCCAGGGGGGCTTTGATTTGATAGCTAGTCTATTATAGTTCAACTCCTTGATGCCTCTGTGTTGTGTGCATATCCAAATGAATTGTTTATATCTTAATATATCGAATAACAAAATATTATTTTTTCTGCTTCTTTCATTAATTTTGTATAATTATATATCCCTTGGAGGGCATTTTAAGTTCACTCAGGTTTAATTTAAAAAATCATATATATATATAGATAGATAACGACATAGTGATGCAAGGAAGGAAGAGGTAAATACAAGAGTAGAAAAAAAGCTTATGAAATTGATAGGCATCTTTCTGGACCACAATGTTTCCTCACTCTCTAAAATTGGCCTCTCTGGGACCTGGCCTTTGATGGCTATTCATCATATATCACTCTTGAATAATGTTTTTAATCATAGTTGATTGTGTGCAAGTAAAATATTTGACCTAAATTGCTCTTTCCTAGGAGTTAAAATTGGAGTGTGTTATGGTTTGTGTCTAGATGTCCCCCTAAAGCCAAATACAGTCATGGAGTGGGGCGAGACTTTTCAAAGGTGGCTAAATCTAGAGTTTGTGATTTATTCATGTCTAATGCTGAAGTTAAAGGTGTGGGTAGTACACCTGCCTTACAGTGGTACACCTGCCCCACATCCACCGTGAGGCTTGCCTCTCCCTCCAGTTTGTTGCTTTTGTTGCCTGCTGTCATCATGAACTGTTGCCATATGCCAGTCTACCTGGAAGACAGCTGATTTTTGATGGAAACTTCTACAAATTGTGAGCTAAATAAACGTCTCCCCCTTTAACTTTGGGTGTCAAGTATTGTTGCAGCAATGAGAAAAGTGATCGAGATAGAGTGTTTGAGGAAAGATTCAGGTTGAGGGTCTTTGGAGCTAAAGTCAGAACAATTCTGTGGTGAGAAGTCCCATAAAGTTCCATTGCCAAGTTACTTGAAATTGATCTGGTCCCTATCACTTGATTTCTCCTGGAACTCCAAACATAACCTAGTGTACTTTCATTATGTTAATTTTGTATTGCTGAAAACCAAAGTACAACTAATATAGAAAGTTGGAATGAGGTAAACTGAAAATGGTAGATGATGAGATGGTGATAAAATATTTTCCTATTTTTATTTTGTAAATAGCTATTAATAATTCATAACCCATTATTTTAAAATGTAATATTTAATAATCTGCTTATTTATAACATAATAACTCGATAATTTATAAGCAAAGAACACAAAAATAACTCTATTATTTTGTTTAATTTCATAGATTCTTTAATTTATGCATGTTTCCACTGGCAGTGTTCCTTTAATCTTAATATTATGCATCCATACTGTCCTTACCCTTTACTTTTTCACTGCTGTGAAGTTCTGAGCCCAGAGAAAGAACAGCAGATAGTCTATTTTTAGATCCTCTGAGTAAATAGGAGATGACCAAAGTAGTAACACAGTGACATGAGAGTGGAATTTATCTCAATGAACCTGTAACCTATACAATTTAGTAAAACTAAGGTAGGAATTTTATGATATTTATAATGGCATGGGGAGGACACACTTGAGTACTGTTACTACTTATTAGTAGTTTTCATTCAACTTCTTACATAAGGAAACTTTTAATAGCATTGTAATTATCCTATCATGGGCATAAGAAAGTGATAAAATGACTGCTCAACATCACAAATTCATAATCTTACAATGGAAAAGAAAAATAATGGCCATAAAGATACTGCTTCAATTTATAGTTAAGGATACTGAGGAAAAAGAGGCCAAACCATCTGTCTGAGGTCACAGATCTGATTAATTCTTGCTCCCAAAGTAGTAACTTTCTTATTACACTTACTGACACGTTTCTTTATTTTAAATTTTATTCAAAGAGAAAAGAGAAGCAAACCAGAAAAAAGGGTAGAAATAATACAGAATTAAAAAAAATAAACACTAAGAAATCACAAGTTGATAAATTACATACTGTCATCTTAGAAATAGTTGTTCAAGTTACAAGATTAAAGCATACAAAGTGGGCATTCAGACAGTGAGGCTGCAATAGTTCTGCTCAATGATCCAACAAAACTTAGTAATATGATTATCAATCCTATAAACATACATGCACTTTTATCCTTCAAAGCACTTTATTTTCCTCTCTTTTTTTACAATAGCAATCACATATTTTGGGTTTTATTACTCCTAAAGTTCTTATTAGTGTTTACACTAGAGACACAATGTGATATTTATAAATATGATTCTTACTTATTTCACTTAAGAGGATAGTTTCAAGTTGCCTCCATTTACCCATGAAGGCCTGAAGATCATCCTTTTTTATAGCTGAGTAATATTCCACTGTAGAAAAATACCACATTTTTTTTCATCCACTCTGTAGTTGATGGGCATTTTGGTTGTTTTTAAGAGTTAGCTATTACAAATTGTGCTGCTATGAATATGGGTGCACATATATCACTGTCACATGACCTTTTCATTTTTTTCTGGGAAAATACCCAGGAGAGGAATAGCTGGATTGAATAGAACTTCCAATCCTGGTCTTTTGAGAAATCTCCATACTGATTTCCATAGTGGCTGAATCAGGCTACACTCCCACCAACAGTAGAGCAGTGTTCCTTTTCCCTCGCAGCCTCACAACATTTGTTATCAGTTGATTTCTTGATGACAGCTATTCTTTCTGCAGTGAGATGAAATCTCAATGCTATTTTAATTTGCATTTCTCAAATGACCAGTGATGGTGAACATTTCTTCATGTATTTATTTGCCATTTGTATATCTTCATCTGAGAACTGTGTTCATCTAAGATGCCCATTTTTGGAGAGGGTCTTTGAGTTTTGGGGGCTTGATGTTTTCCAATTCTTTATAAGTTCTGGATATAAGTCCTTTGTCTGAGGGGTTGCTGGCTATAATTCTTTCCCATTCTGTGGGTTTACTTTTCACTCTGTTGGTGGTTTCTTTTGAAGTGCAGAAACTTTTCAACAATATGAGAGTCCAGTTGTTGATTCTTTGAAGTGTTTCCCATGCAGTTTGCATTTTATTCATGAATTCTGTGCCTACCCCTATGTCTCCAAGACTTCTACCTATGTTATCTTCCAGTAGATTTAGTGTTTCTGTTTTAATATTTAGATATTTGATCTATTTAGATTTTAGTTTTGTGGACAGTGATATGCATGGTTCAGTTTTATGAGGAGAGCCAATTTTTCCAACACCATTTCTTAAAGAGGCTATCTTTCTTCCAGTGAACATGTTTAGCATCTTTGTCAAATATCAGGTGGCTGAGGGTCTTTGTAGTTGTGTTTCCATCTACTAATCTGTTACATTGATTCTCAGGACCATTTCTTTGCCAGTACCAAGCTGATTTTTATCACTGTGGCTTTGTAGTATAGTTTCGAGTAAAGAATTGAGATGCCTCCTGCCTTGGTTTTGTTGCCCAGAATTGCCTTTGCTATTCTAGGTTTCTTCTGTTTCCCAATGAATTTTGGGAGTGTTTTCTCTAGATCTGTGAGGTATGTTAATGATATATTGATTGAGATTGCATTAAATCTGTGTAACAGTTTTAGGAGTATGGTCATTTTTCACAATGTTGGTTCTTCCTAGCCAAGAGCAAGGAATATACTTCCATTTTTTAGTATCCTCTTCTCTTTTTTAGCATAGCATAATTTTCAGCATATAAGTCTTTTATATTCTTGGTTAGGTTGATTCCTAAGTATTTCATTTTTTTAGATGCTATTGTGAAAGGTGATATTTCCATAATTTCTCTCAGTGAGTTTTTTGTTTGTATATAGGAATGCTATTGATTTTTGAGCATTGACTTT